TTTTTTTTTTAACAGTTTTAGGTTTATAGCAAAACTGAGAAGAAGTTACAGAGATTTCTCTACCACCTGCCTTCTCCTGCATAGCATCCTCCATTGTCAATACACCCTGAGTGGTGATTTGCCTCGCAAATAAACCTACATTGACTAGCATAATCACCCAAAGTGTGTGGCTTCCATTGGGTTCACCCTTGGTGCTGTACGTGGTATGGCTTTGGACAAATTTTACATGCTGACCATTGCCAGGTGCCCTTTTAAGTCAGTGTTAATTTCTCTGTTTTGCCATAACACCCAAAATTCTAAGTGGTTTGTACATTCACGTTCCACACGGATCACCATGAAAAGGCCAAGTAAAATTTAAAATAAGAAAAAAAAGCACTAAACTTTCTCATAATGGAGAAATATGTCCCAAGTATTGCAATATTTGTCCATGCAATATTTGGGACTAAGTGTATCAAAATTGTATTCATTGTTTATCTGAAATTCAAACTAACTGAACAGTCCATATTTTATCTGCTAAATAAAGCCTATGACAAACCCAGGCAGTCACAATGTTTTTTAAAAAGGAGGAAATGTTTTTCAAGAAACCTGAAGGAATCTAGGGCTAAATTAGAACACTAAATGCTGGTTTAAACATATTGTATAATAAACTCATGAGTTCCTACACCAGAGAATTTGAACTTTCATAACTCAAATATTTTGCAATTAGTTTATCTTAAAATTTTAATAATGTTTAATCCTCATTTCTGGTTATTTTTTTAGTTGATTGCTAATCGATCTTAACTTTCCATGTTTCCAGGTTCCTAAATTAATGATCTATTCTGAAATTCTTAAATAGAACCAGGGACCCCATGGTATGAGTAAAACAGTCTTTTATTTTTTTTTTTTAATGTAAAGACTCCTTTGTATGTTTATTTATCACTCTACTATATCCATTTTAGAAGTTAGGATTTCTATATATGCATTTCTTTTACAAAATACAGGAAAATACTTATTTTTACAAATAAATACAGACACACATATGTTTTCCTCTTTAATAACTTACTGGTGAAGGAAATCACAAATAGCACCAGCAGCTCATTTAAAAAAAAAAAAAACTAAGCCATTTGTTTCCTTGAATCAGAGTGATTTCAAGTTTTGCTGTTACTATTTTAAGAAAAGTTCCTGAAGGAACTACAGTGAGAAAGAGTCCAAAGGAAATGAGAGTTAGGCGTTGCTCTTCCACCTCCAGCCCCCTTCAGAAGACCCCGGCTGAGGTAGACACTGGCCTGAGGTGGGCAGCACAGGAAGCAGTAGGAAGGTGAAGGTGGAGAAGGAGTCTTGCCACTCAGGCCGGAAATGACTATGCTGTTCCGGGCACCCCAGAGTTCCCTGGGATCTGGGCTGTTTATTTTGGAACCTGCCATTTCACAAAGACGCAGTTCTCCTTGAAAAATTCACAACTCCTTCTTCCCCCTCTGAAAGTGACCTGATTCATTCAACAGTGATCAGAGCTTCCAGGGACCAGACCTGATTCTAAGCACTTGTTTATGATCCATCAGTGAACAAGCCAGACACAGTTCCTGCCTCTTAAATTGTCACTGAGTCAGAGAAGACAGACAGTAAATAAGGAACAGAAGACTTCAGTGAGACAGTGTGAGGATGTAGGGAGCAATGTGCTGGAGGAGGGGGAGCAGGGCAGAAGGGTCAGGGGTTGGAGAGGGATTGGATTTTAAACAAGGAGGTCAGGGTGGGATTAGATAACCATGACATTTGAGCACAGACTTGAAGGAGGCATGGGAGTGGCCCATGGTTTTCTGAGGAATAGCCTTTCAGAGAGGAGGCAGCCAACACAAATTCCTGAGTCCCTGGCTGTGTAAGTTGTGCTTCTCAACCTGGATAATTTAGCCCCTCAAAGATATTTGGTCAAGTCTAGAGACACCTCTGTTTGTCACGACTGGGGTCAGAGATTGCTGTTGGCATCTGGATAGATAGCAGAGTTGCAACTTAACATCCTCATGTGCCCAGGACGGCCTCCCATGACAAAGAATGACCCAGCCCCAAATATCAGTGGTGCCAAGGCTGAAAGGCCCTATGTTGGGGGGGCAGTAAGGAAGCCAGGGTAGCTGGGGGGAAGGGAGTAAGAAGAGAAGTTGATGGGGTCAGAGATAGCAAAGGCTGGGGCAGAGGGAGGACCAGACCACATGGGCCTGTTAGCCTGTATAGCTTATATCTTGGGGAGGTAAGGAGCCTTGGAGGTTCTGAGTAGAGGGGGGATATAATCTGAGCTCACATTTAACAGTATCCCTCTGGGTGGAAAATAGATTGAAGAGGGGTGAAGGTGGGTGCGGGAGACAGATCAGGGTAGTTGGAGTTTTCTGGACAGCAGATGGTAGGGCTTCAGGACACTAGTTTTGTCCCTTCTGTGCAGCTGAATCATCCAACAATAAAGTTCAGATAACCAGCAACAATGCACTCTTGAATTTCAATCCCCAATCTTTTTACATAGTAGGACACTTGCTATGTTTTAACAATTGAATAGATTTATGATGCAATACTTTGAGGTTGGATAGACACAATGTAACCTTTCTATGCTTTAACATAGTCAAATCCTGCTAGCAATTCTTTTGAAGTACATTTTTCTAAGACATATGTAACCCTAAACCCACTAAATTGCCTGAAAATGGGTGAGGCAAGCATGAAAGGCTTGGTCCCTACTAAAAAGGAGTTAGATCAGCTTTCCTTTTAGAACTGTATTGAATTGTTCCAATAGTTACTTTTCTCTTACTCACCTGCAAAACAAATGCAAATACTTAGAAAGCATTGAGAGGTTGCCCATTGCATGTACCCCAGGACTCACACATCCTAGTTCCTCTCATCTTTCCTTCATGAGGTCTCCCTAAAGCACATAGCTCTTGTCTCATTTGCAGAGAGACAATGGGAGGGAGTCCTGTGACAGCCTGCAGCAGTGACCCCCAGGGATCAGGGCTCAAATAGTCTCAAATAGTCTTTCATTTCACTTGCCCCCAGTGATACATTTCAATTGCTCCCAGTGATACATTTCAATTACTGTCCTTTTTTGTTGAAGTCATTCCATTCAAAGGAAGTGGCAAGCTAGTTAAAAAGTGAAATAGATGTGTTGTTTTTTTTTTTTTCCATTCTTTTATGTTTTTTAAAGAACTTTTAAAATAGAATTGAGTTTGTAACTCTTTGAGTGTCCTGTCCAAATAGTTGGTGTTCCACTCAGCCAGGCAGACGCAGGGTAAATTTCAGGGCAAGCATTTAGTATTCCAGAGAAAGTAGCAGATATGGAAGATGTTTCTCAAAGTTTGGCTCATGGATCATGCACAAAAGATTCCTCAGGAGCTTGTTAAAAATGCCAGGCCTCTTGGTCCCTCCTAGACCAGAAAACTCAAGGTCTCTGAGGGTGGGGCCAGGAATCTGCATTTCAGTGAGCAAGAAAAACAGTCTTAGATGGTCAGCCTGTTCACAGCCACCACTCTGTTGACTTGCTAAAACTGGCAGATGTCATTCAAGTGAAAACTATACTTATAAAGATTTGCCTTCTGCAAGGAAGTGTGTCACCTGGCCTTCCTCATGTTAGTCTCCTCTTTTAAGTAACTCTTTCTTCTGGGAAGTGTAGGAGGGTGCTTTTTAGCCCCTGTTCTTAGGGGGTTACAGTGAGCACTTATCCTTTAACATATGGCTGACCATTTTGCTGTGGGTCAGATTCTGGCTAACTTAGGGGGCACTTTGATCTAGGAGACTGCTGAAGTGATCATTTTTGTCTCATGTGATACTTCTCTTTTCTTGTTGAACAGCAACTATGCCAGAGGAGTACCCTGATCAGTTTGATGATGTCATGGATTTTATTCAAGCCACCATTAAAAGGCTGAAAAGATCACCAGATAAACAAATGGCAGTTCTTCCTCGAAGAGAGCGCAATCGCCAGGCAGCAGCTGCCAACGCAGAAAATGCCAGAGGAAAAGGCCGCAGAGGCCAGAGGGGCAAAAATCGAGGTTGTGTCTTAACTGCAATACATTTAAATGTCACTGACTTGGGTTTGGGCTACGAAACCAAGGAGGAACTGATCTTTCGGTACTGCAGTGGCTCTTGTGATGCAGCTGAGACGATGTATGACAAAATACTAAAAAACTTATCCCGAAATAGAAGGCTAGTGAGTGACAAAGTAGGGCAGGCGTGCTGCAGACCCATCGCCTTTGATGATGACCTGTCATTTTTAGATGATAACCTGGTTTACCATATTCTAAGAAAGCATTCCGCTAAACGGTGTGGTTGTATCTGACTCCGGCTCCAGAGACTGCTGTGTATTGCATTCCTGCTACAGAGCAAAGAAAGGGACCAAGGTTCCCAGGAAATGTTTGCCCAGAACGGAAGATGAGGACCAAGAAGGTGCAGGAGGAGGAAGAGAAAGAGGAGGAGAAAGAGGAGGAAGAAGGCAGCCATCATGGGAGCCTGGTAGAGGGAGGTCCAGCTGCAGAAAACTGGATAGCAGAGAGAACGGCTGTCCCGGTGCTCCAGGATGGCAGCCGACGTCACCAGAAGCTCAGGACTGGTGTCCCTGCTTGGCTGTTGCCAGCGTTTATCTGATACAGTCCACCATCACCAACCATGGTCATAGTCGCGGATGCACATGAAGAAGCAGACCAGTGTATCTCCTGTGGTGCATTTTCACGTATCTGAAGACACCAGGAGATGTGATAATCCCGATGTCACTTGTGTCGCTAGGATTTTACTGCTGAAAGTAAGAAGGTTTATTTTTCTGTCACTCAATGGATTCATACCCTGGAAAGGAAGGGGGGCGGGGGAAGCAGAGACACAAAAGATAATAACCTTTGAATTTGAGAGCTGAGGTTTGCTACAGCCAGCATTTTGGGGCAAGAGTTGGTGATTGATTTTGAACGTGGTGTGTGGGGTGGGAAGAAGTTGGCTAGAAACCCCAAAGGCTGTGTCCTCACGATTCAAAACAAACCTGGAGGTATTTCCTTTATGTCCTCGGAAACAGGAAGCGAGTTGTGGTTTTCGGCAGCATTCTTGTAGGAGAGCAAGTGGAGAAGGCCCCAGCTGCCCTGGCCAGGGACAAAAGCCTGGGCCTCTCGGTTTACAGAGAGACGGATGTTACATACCCAGCTCCGTTTATGCGTGGTCACCAGTGGCCAGAGAAACTACTCGATGCAATGCATCTGTTTCAGATACAGAAATATAGAGAAGATATTTATTGAGATTTAAGTTATTGTTATTTATTACCATTCACTAATGAATTCTCTTTTTTCCCTTATTTATTAAAGTTTCTTTTCAAAGGTGCCAAAGTATATGTGTTCGCAAAATGCAAAGAAAGGTGACAAAAGGGAATTTTAATTGGAAACAAGGGTCCATGCTTTTCAAAGTATTAAAAAGGTTTTCGCTAGACAAAAATCACTTACTTTACCTTTTTTAAGAAAATCCCTTATGAACTTCCCCAGATTTCAGCATTTCCCCATTTTTATTTGCCTCAGAAGGAGCGTTTCGACGGCTCCCTTGCCAGGAGCAGTGTGCAGAAACCATTGGCACTTGGCACTTGGCTTCGTTTCTTTGTGGCTCCATCACTGAGCAGATATGCCACACGCTCCACTTTCTGTTGTATTTAAGCTCTTCTCCTCCTCCATGTGTATCTATAATATGTGTAACCACGTATATAAAAGGATGAATTTCTTTTGGTAGGTAGTCCTAGACTTAATGTCAACCTACAGGTAAAGTGAAGGACTCTGCCGTGTAGCCAGGGTTTTGCGCTGCCCTGTGGCGTCTCTTCCTCCTTCCTCACCTGCCACCTTCCTGAGGGCATGCATGCAGGAGCACACCCATGGTCTTGCCAGGATAGGAGGTCTACCTGGTCCTCAGCAAGCCTGGTAGCTTGCAGTTCCTGACCACCTGATGGCTCCTGGGGAGAAGGTAGCTGGGGAGGATGGACAGGAAGAGGTGTCTGGCTGGGCCACAGCACACACACAAGGCCTTACACTCAGAATTCGGAGGGGAGGACATGGAAGGGAGCAGTCACCTCCCATGTGCTCCCATTGTGGATTTGTCTGGCAGCTGACATATGGGTGCTGCCCTGGGCCCTACAATAGAGCTTTTACACATTTCATAAAAGGGATTTTTATCCAGGAGATAATCTATCACTACCTTAGTGGCTATTAGCCACAAAAGTAGGAAAGATTTAATAATTAAATGACCCACTGGCCTCCCTCAAATAATCATGTTAATTTTGCAAAGAAACCAAGAAGTGGCAGTTACCAGACATCCCTTGCTCTGTCCCCAAAGACCCAAGTTCTGCATGATTCCATTCCTCTCTGTCCTGTCCACTCCTCTTGTATGACTGGGAAACAGAGGAAAAAGCTTTCTCTTTCATCCTCTCCTGCTCAAAACTGTGCCATCACCAGCTGTCTGGCACAAATTGGATGTAGCCCCAGGATTGTCTGTTCAGTTCAGAGAATCCTGGCAGATGCATGGCTGATGTCCCCAGGTTCAACCTCAGTTCCCAGCTTCCCATGGAGAATCCCTGCCCCAAGGAGCTGCAGGGCTCAGTGGGTGCGGGCCACATGTTCCAGCATCACCTGCATACCACGAGTAGGTTCTTATGGAGGCAAATTGCTCCACCAAATACACAAAAGGGTAAAGTTTGTGATTTTTCTTTATCATTGTGATCATCATCTGATACAGTAAGAAGTGCACTTCTTTGGAAGTTCTAACTTCTCTGATCTGTCTCAGTCGTTTGTGTTATACAACCAAAGTTCTCTACAGACTTTATTTTTGTACAATATCATTTTGTAACTTTTTACAAATAAAAGCTCATTTCTATTGCCCTCTGTACTTCTGTATTTCCTCAAGTGCCAGTGGACCATAGTTGGGCCCGTATCCATCCATAAGCATTTAATGTGAACTGTCCCCTTCACCATCACACAGCCCACTGGTTGGTCAATGGTCATGTTCATCAACTCCCAATAACCAATCACCAGTCAGGTGGGAAAAATAAAAGTTGTTCCTCATTTATTCATTCAACAAATACTTATGATGTGCCTACACTGTGCCATGTACTTTTTGAGGCACTACAGATCCAACAGTAACCAAAACAAAACAAAACAAAAATCTCTGTCCTCATAGAGGGCAGAGATTTATGTGGAGGGACACAGATAATATTAAAAAAAAAAAAAGTAAATATGTAGTCATCCAAGGAATGATGTGCTATAAAAAATACAAACAGGATATATAATAGAAAGTAATGGGGTGGGGGGGCTGCCTTAATTAGAGGTGACATTGAAGTTGAATTTAAGAAACTGTTCCAACAAAGCAGAAGCATCCCAGGCAGGGGAAGTGGCCATGTAAAACCCTGAGGCAGGCAGGAACTTGGATGGATCCCCCACATGGCACAAGTCTCTGTGAAAATGGTTCACAGAGCTTCCCCATGGCAATGGAGCAGAACCCCTGGAATTGTGTGAGTGGTGGCTGTAGTTTATTTGGTATATTCTAGTGTGAGCACAGTGACGAGAGGACATGTGACCACCATAGGTTGAGGGAGGTGCTCATAATTCCTCCCAGACTGTGCCACAGACACCTTGTGACTAATGGCTCTTCTGTGTGGCCACCAGCCAAGGCTGCCAACCGACTGCACTTAGCACACTGCCCTGTGCACACTGACTCTGGCCTGGAGACTCAAAGGAGCCACTGGTTTGGCCTTTCAGGCTAGGGTATTTAGAGTCCTTCTGCCAGGACTGGCTGGATGGAGGTCAGGGACAGTACTGAAACCAGCTGTGTTTTTCTCTAAATTCTGGTGTGATGTCAGTGACTTAGAGAGGGAACACAGAGAAGGAAAAACTGCTTGCTTACCATCACTCCCTTTAGAAAGAGCCATTCTAAAGTTTGTTCTCAGTATTACTAATGAGGTGAGATGCTCCTCAAAATAAAAGCAGGAAGACAGGGTAGTCCTCTGATCAAATAATTTTGGAAAATATTGAATTAAGTAGCATTACCTCACTCTTTATGTTAAAAAAGTTCTGTAGAGCTTATCAGAGCCGTAATTAGACTAATGAACAGTTTTGACAGTCTAGGAGGGACGTAAGGTACAGAACTCCCCAATTGGACTCAATCTTGACACTGCTCATTGTTCTGTTTTCTTTCTCACTACACCTGGTGAGCATCCCTGGAAACTATGTCACGTCCAGCTTCAGGGTGAGCCAAGAGCAAGACTAGACCTTAATTAAGGGGCAGAACAACTGGGCAGCTCCCCACCAGACATTTTTCCCTAAACACATGTACAAACACACACACACAAACTCACACCCACATACATCCTTGGTATTTGGACACTGTGGTTTCTTGCTCATCATGAATGAAAAAAATAACCAGTGGCCAACTTTGGAAATTTCACTGAACTGAGAAAGGGAGAGTGTGTTGAAAACTGGGAAATCTTTAGCAATAAAACAGAAACATTCACCATGCCCTGGGAAAACCTTTACAGGCTAGAGTTGTTTCAAATGCTAACACTTTGTCTCTGGCCAAGCTCAGGGCTGGCTCCCCTCAGAGCCTTCTGTCCATCCTCTGGGAAGCCACTCTTGATGGGCTTCCAGCTCTGGATTCCTCACTGCTGACAGTGGGGGAAGGGTGCAGGATCTGGAGCCTGGAAACTGGCTGGCCGAGGCCGAGGCCTCGTGTGGCTGTGCCCACACATCACCTCAGGCTAATTTTCTCCTGTGTTAAGGAGGGAATCTGGGTTGGAGTGAAGTAGTTGTAAAAGAACTTTTAAAACAATCAATCCGTTCCCAACAGGGAGGTGGAAAATCAGGATTTCCTGACCCTGAGTCTCAAAACCAGAAGGATCCGATCTGAGCTGTGGCTGATTTACTCTCTCTCTATTTTCTTCTAAAACATTTATAGCTTTGGCTTTTAAGTTAGAGCTATGGTTCATTGAGAAACAGAATCAAGAGCCTGCGATCCCCCACCCCCACCTCCTGTCCACCCTGGGAACAATGGCGGGAGGGATACAGGTCTCAGCTAAAGCCTCTGGCTTTTTTCCATGAAGTGATGAAATGTGGAACCCAGGGTGTCTTGTTGGGAAGCACCTTTGTTAGCAGAAGTGCTACTGTAATCCCATGCAACAGTTAACTCATCTTTATATTCAGACACACGACATCCTGAATGAAATTAAAACCAAATGCTGCCAAGTCATCCCTGAAAATAAACAGTTGGGGAAATAAGGGAAAGCACACACTGACTTATGCGTGAAGACTCATGCACTTCACACCCCAGGCCATGGCAGGTAAATGTAATGAGGATGGGAATGTAGGCTAGGGGAAGGGCGGGGAGGGAGTCAGTGATACTCCACAGGGTGAGGTGTATCAGAGCAGAGATGTGTTGAAAGTGCTAGAACGCCTTGGTAGGAGCAAAGGCTGAAAGGAAAATGAGTCAGAAACAGCACAAAGTAGGGTTGCCGAATAAAATACAGAATATCCCACAAGATTTGAATTTCAGATAAACATGCATAATGTCTTAGTACAAGTGTGTCTCCTCCAATATCTGGGGTCTG